ATCAACATTGAAATATTAACGATAAATAAAATCAAGCGGAAGAATTAATCTGATAAGATAACCCAAGCCAGTACGACAATGCCAACATACGTCTCTACCCGAAATCTGGTGTAACAATATCACGGACTGTCTATGAATACTACAACAAATGTCTGAAAAGAAAGTACAATCTGCCTCGGAAACAAATGAAAACAGAATACATAATAAGACAGTAGAGAACGCCGGGCCTGCGGACGTCTACAGGACTACCTCGGGATCTCTAGCTGGACTGAAGGCAGCCACCCAAATGCTACTGTCCAAAAGCTGCTCCGGGATCTGCACATAGTGCAGAGTGTAGCATCAGCACAATCGACCCCATGTGTTGTTAAGTGCCTAGCCTAACCTCGGCGAAGTAGTGACGAGGCTAGGACCAGACTACCAAATAAACATGTGCAGTTATATAATATGCAACGGAAAATAAAATAGGAATAAACAAGTAAAGATGGGAGGGGGTACATGATGTGGGGGAATATCGTTACCACAGTAAACTAAAAGAAAAGCATAAGGACAATCTAGAATTTACAGCAGAACAATAAGGAACTCGTAACCAGTCTACAAACACTCATATTATCAATTGTTGCGGTGCGCAACCCGATCCCAAAATATAATAACACTGTTGCGGCATGCAACCCAATCCATATTATTTATCATTGTTGCGGCGTGCAACCCGATCCATTTATATTATTGTTGCGGCGTGCAACCCGATCCAAATATAATATTGTTGCGGCGCGCAACCCGATCCAAATATAATATTGTTGCGGCGTGCAACTCGATCCAAATATAATATTGTTGCGGCGCACAACCCGATCCACATATACAGTTCAACATCAATCACAATGAAAGTACCGGCAAGGGATCAATAAAGAAACAACACTATCCCGGCAAGGGAATCAACGGTATAAGTAAATACATCTTGACAAGGGAAAATCAGCTATAACCAAACTTGTTCCAACATCTAACTACCTCAACTAGCAACAATACTCAATCATAAGTAATTTCCACGGGAATAATCATAATCTTTACTCAACACAGTGATTCAACAACTTAGGCATTCGTAGTATTTATTAAGATCACAACACTTTCACTTTAAGACTCACGGTCATGCTCGACACCAATGTATAGATACTCGCCACCATGCCTATACGTCGTACTCAACAAGTAAAATGTAGCAAATATGACACAACTCCTAATCCCTCAAGCTAAGGTTAGACCAAACACTTACCTCGAACTTCCACGGCCAACTCAAGCCTCAAACACCGCTTTTCCTTTAGAATTCGCCTCCAAACAACTCGTATCTAGTCCAAATTGATTTAACAACATCAATAAATGCGAAAGAATTCATACCCAATGCTCAATTATAGATTTTCCATCATTCTTCCCAAAAAGTCAAAAATTGATCCTGGGCCCGCTTGGTCAAAACTCGAGGTTCAGACCAAAACCCGATCACCCATTCACCCACGAGCCCGAATATATGATTAGTTCCACAATTCGACCCCAAAACGAGGTCTTAATCCCAAATATACAAAAAGCCCTAACTCTATCCAAATCCCTAATTTTCTACCTTTAAGAACATGATTTAAGCCTAGAAATTTNGTTCGCGTCTTAGGCTTCGCGTTCGCAAAGAAGAAAACTGGCACCAGGGAAATTCGCCTTACGCATTCGAGGGTGGGACCACGCGAACGGGAAGAACAAAATCTATGTGCACTGAACAGCAAAAACCTGTAACTTTCATAAGTTCAAAAACTTTTCGAAGCTCACCCGAGCCCTCGGGGCTCCAACCCAAACATACGTACTAACTCAAAAACATCATATGAACTTATCTGTGCGATCAAATCGCCAAAATAACCTCTTAAACAACGAATTTAGCATAGAAATCTAAGAAAAATCTCAAAACTTTCAAAGTAGGAATTTTCACAACTACGGGTCCGAATCACCTCAAACGACTTCCGTTTCTTACCAAATTTTACAGACTTATCTTAAATCACATATAAGACCTGTACCGGGCTCTAAAACAAAAATACGGGCCCGATACCATCGAGTTTAAAGCACATTTCATTTCCAAAACTCAGAAATAATTTCAGAAAATAGTTTTCTTTAAAAATTCATTTCTCGGGCTTGGGACCTCGGAATTCGATTCCGGCATACGCCCAAGTCCCATATTTTCCTACAGAGCCTCCGGGACCGTCAAATCACGGGTCTAGGTCCGTTTATCCAAAATATTGACCAAAATTAACTTAAATCCATTTTACAGTCAAAATTCACCATTTTTCACAAATTTTCACATAATGTCTATCCGGCTACGCTCCCGGATTGAGCACGCAAAATTAGGTGATGCTGAAAGAGGTTTTTAAGGCCTCGAAATGTAGAATTTATTTCTAAAACAAGTGATGACCTTTTGGGTCATCACATGAGAATGAAGGGAATGAAATCATTTTTCAAATCTTATAGTGGATAACTTATTTTCTTTTTCTATATTCGTAACTACCCTACCCTATTTACTTTAGTACTTTCACTTTATCAATATTAAAGAATACTAACACGTCATGTTGTAATATGCTTTGTTTGAGCACATTAAATCATATAGTTTTAAAAAAATCTTACTACCACTTTGTTTTTTATCTCAAATTTAAGTAAGTCTTATTCTTCTATGTTTTTACACAATTTTTTTTTTGTTCTTTGCTTATGGTTGTTGTAGTATTCATTACTTAAAATTGTTACACTGTCATGTGATCTTTTATTAGCTTATCAATTGACTTATTATTTTACTTATTACCCTTTTAATAATCACCAATTATAAAGAAAAATTTATTCTTGAAATTTTATTGTTACGCTTTTATGTTCTTACTCGGAACTCTTTTATTATTTAAATCTATAAATAATATTTTTGACTATTATTTATTTATTTATTTTTAAAGTAATTCAAAATATAATATCCTCAAACTATCTCTATTTTCTTCTTTATACATTCTCTTTCCTATTATAAAATTTTAATTAATTCTTTATATTAGTGTCTTACCTATAACTAAAGTAATATCACATTTTATTTTAAATTATAATTTTGAATTAGTCTGAACTTGGTTTTTAGACTTGTTTGAATTTTAGACTTAGTTGTGAATATTTTTTGCTTAAGGTGTTTTGGACTTGAATGTTTTTATTGGTTAAAACTTTTAGACTTTAATGTGGTCTAGTAATGTTTAAACTAGTGTGATATTTAATGATTTGGGTTTAATTGCTTGAACAATTGTGATATTAGGTAGAATTATTGGTTGTTTGATCTGGTAGGTGGTGTAGCTTAAAATCCAGGAGAATTCTGCTGAATTTTACCTAATTTTCCTTCTGATTTTCGACCATTGTGGTCGGAATACTAAACTGAAAATTCCCCAATTTTCGACAAAAGTAGTCAAAAAAATTAATTATCTATTTAATTAATTTTAAATTTTCGACGGAATCAGTCGAAAATATTGAATATAATTTTAATTAATTTTTTAAAACTAACGCCTGGTTCAGTCAAAATTATTATAATTTTATTAATAGTTTTTTCCTATCGAATTGGTCGTATATTTACAGAAGGTTAAAATATTTGAATTTATTTTGCCATCCCAATTTTCAGATTTGCGACCAAAACGGCCACAAGGTTCCGGCTGATTCGGTCGAAAATCCTTTCCAACCATTTGACTTCAGTCGGAAATTAGTTTCTTACGGTTTTGCTGGTCGAAAATTTGACATTTTCTAGTAATGCCAGGAACAAGAATTATCACTGTTTATGTATTAACATGTTGAAAGAGAAACCAACAATGTTTGATACAGACATAAGTTTTATTTTTCACATTTTCATGAAAAATATTTTTCGATATTTGGCAATTAAAAAGTATTTTTCAGGAAAACTTATAAATTAAGGTTGAATAATACCATTAGCAAAACGGAGAGTGTTTTAATAAAACAAGATTTGAGTACTAAAGGCTTGTAATAATATTTAAGGGTTTGTTTAAGCAGTTAAAGGTTACTCGTGGTGAGAAAAATAATTTTCTGAAGAAATTCTGAACCCGATTGGCAAACACTTGAAAATGATTTCTCATGAGTCATGACTTTCGCCGTATCAAATACACTTAAAATTAGTCAAGAAAGTTACCTTGTTGTCAACATACTTGAATGGGCTCTTTCATAAGGGTCAGAAGGCAAGAGAGGAGATTTGTCCCTCCAGACTTCATCAAAGTACTGAACGATTATTAGGGACTCACAAAAACATGCTTTCCCTTGTGAATCAAATCTGGGATTTGCTTATGCCATTTTTTAGACTCTCGCCTAAAATTAACTGAAGCTTGAGAAAAATTAAATAAGCCTTTGTATATTCAGTGTAGTTGATGATACCGAAATTGATGACACAAATATGCTGCAGTCTTCACAATATATATGTAGTTTTAGGATTATCGGCGAAGCTATATCAAATTGTAGAATTTTTCCAGCAGGACTGCATTTTCTGCCAAACCTGTCATTCCTTCATAAGGCCGTATCATGTAGCCAATGGCATTACGGAGTGCTTTAGAAACTAAAGAGTAAAGGAGAGGGTGAGAGATTCATCACTATTATTTGATTAAATCTCTAATTAACCCTTGACTAAGGCTCTAAACTTAGCATGTACTACTTATGCCCTTCATCGAAGAAAGAAGCCACTGCCTATTATTCTAGGCAACCAGACAAACCAGTATCATACTCTTCATCTCCACAGATGGGAACTGGAAACTCGGAATAATAGTAGTTAGTAGTATAACTTCACTTTCTACGTTATTGGCATGCTCCTTATGTCAGTGACAAATTGTAGATAAACATTTATCTCTTTAGCAAAACAACTCCAAATAAAATAACCTTTTTACTTGAAAAGAATTAAATTCCCTTGCGTTTAGAGATAAATCCCCCCACATTCCAGTCTTTCATGTTCTCCTCAAGAATCAAGATGATTTAGATTCAATAACAAACAGCTGCAAATAAATTGCTAGAAGGAACACCCATTATTTTTTCCTAGTATAGACTCAACAGAGACGAGGAACATATGATAGCAGTACGTACAAGAAATTTGGGTTACAAAACTATGAATATGGAATTACCTTAACAATTATCTAGTGGTATTATCATGTCTGTTTAAAAGTAAAACCTCAACTCTAGACAAGAATACAACCCGACCACAATTTTATGGAAAAATTGTTAAGCATCCATAAAATGAGGAATACATGCTCAGCAAAGGCCAAAAAGGGCATGTCGTACAGCACGAATAGAATTTACGTGTTCTATCGGCAGACTCTAGTCTCGCAAGGAAATTCGCAACCAGAATACGATGTTAGTGCTATGATTTCCTCTTTTAACTGATAGAACACAGAACACCATTCGGACACACAATGGCGAAGTGAACAAAATCAAAGACAACTTATCATGTGCTACCTTCTCCGCCATGGTATATACTGCACTAGCAATCCATTCGCAACCACATTACCACAAACTAACATCACATCTCCGAGTGACAAAAAATACAGACCAAGCAAATCAGCACCACCGTCGATGGACTGCAAAATTGTCAAAGGTACAATTCACGTAAAAAAATGGGACCATAAACAAAGCAACTGAATGACCACCAAGGCTCATAATTTTTGCACCTCGAAACCTGAAAAGACCACTATGCTTCTGCACATACCATGTGTGAGTGCTTAAGTACTGGAGGGTGGTTTTCCTTGACTAATTGATGTTAGGCGTTTGATAAGACTACCCTTCAATGATTCAGGAATTCGTGAGATAAACATTGATTTGGCATCTGCAATTAATAACCTCCTGCAAGACCAAAACATTCTTGGTGTGAGATGAAAAGAAATTGAGAATATTAAGGCATGTGTAAGCTTTGTCAGTTTCAACGTCAGATCTGAATAAAAGTAGTTATGGACTCCATGCTAATTTCCCATGCAATACAAGTTCATAAATACATTCAACAGGTTTTCTATAGTTCAAGAAATGACCAATAGCCAAATGATATCCATTGATCAGTAAACCTCTAGCCCACCATTGTATTCACATTTTTCCTTTATTTGATTGTCCGCAATTCTTACTCAACCAAGTTCATCACGGCCACAATGATGACACTGTAGGGGATTGAAAGTCATATCATTTCATTCCTACAATGATAAATCTTTTTAAACCAAGAAACATGATTTTTATTAATGCTTCCAGAAACTTCTTTCCAAGTTCCTGTAAATGAAAATGAAAGAGTCTTGCAAGTATCAATAATGCATTACTCGCTGCGACAGGCTACCTCCAAACAACAAAAATTAACAGCAACAAGAAGAAGAAGAAGATAATTACAATAATAAGAAACAAAGATTTCTGGGGTGCTCGGATGGTATTTTTCCTTTACATTCTTAATCAAAAGCATTTTGCATTACATGCTACAAGGATTATAAACTCTCTACCCTTCCGGGGTAGGGGTAAGGTCTGCGTACATCCTACCCTCCCCAGACCCCACTAGTGGGATTTTACTGGGTATGTTGTTGTTGTTGTTGCTGCTACAAGGATTATAAGAAAATAATACAGTGGCAAGCCGAAAGCAAGGAGCACAACAAAACAAATTAGGGGACACACTTCTCTCACACATCATACACTTCAAATTGGAAAAAAAAAGATAAATAAAAAAGGGAAAAAGCTGGAAATTGACCCTTGCAGTGGAGACGACATGTAGGAAAGGATCGAGGCAAAATCAAAGAGCACATGATGTGAGACGCGATGCCACTAGGGGATTCAGGGAATATTTACTTGTTATCAGTTTACAACAGTCAGATCATGGATTCAAAGAGGGAAGACAGAGCATTCTTCACGCAACACACTAAAGCAAGAAAAGCAGAAACAAGGAGCTTGCCGATCACTTACCTTATACAATAACTACGCCTCAGTTCCAAATAAGTTGAAGTCAGCTATATGAATCCTCACTAACCATTTTTCCTAGAAAGCATAGGAACCTAATGTAAATGTATTAACATCGGTAAAACATAGTCCTAACTATTGGTATCACTCATATAAATCTTTTTCTTCCAGTGTGCCTTATCTTTTGCGAAGTCTGAATTAAATCTGCATTGATTCCAAGAGATTATAGGTCTTTGGAGACAACTTCCTTCCATGTGAGTCTAGGTCTACCTTATCCCTTTTGACACGTTCATCACTCACCAGTCCCATACTTATGATGCATTTGGAGGTCAGCGCATGACATGGCTGCTATTTCAAGCGACATTCTCTTATTTTATCCTCAATGTGTGCTACTTGCACATTCTGGCGAATGTGGTCACTTACCTCATCCCAAAAAGAACCCAATTTACCAATCACTGTCCATAAAACCCAAATAGTCAATCGCTGTCCGTAAAAATCAATTAAGTATGCCTTAATCCTAAAATTAATAGGGGTTGACACTATAAGAATCCTCTGCAGTAAATCCACTCCATTCGAGCCCATTTCGTTTCAATACCAAATAAGCTTTACCAATCACAAAGGTTCAACATATTGTTAGTGAACAATACTTTCTTTGTCCCAAATTAAATTAAGTATGGCTGGAGAAACTTTAGGCCAAAGGAAAAAAGAACCAAACAGAATGCCTTCTTTGGTCCATTTACCAATATTAGACACAGCAGTTTCATTATGAAGCACTATCGAGTAGACCATGAAGCACTACTGGGCTATTTATGAATGTGAAACACTGTTGGGCTAATTTAAAAATTCTCAAGCAGGAAAATGCAGGAGGAGAAACAGAAAAGTCTTTGGCATGTTTCACGGAAAAAGATCAGGAAAATTTCACCTTCCTTCTTTTATTTTAGATTGTCCCAAAACTAGTCCACTTTCTTAAATATAGATATTTCTTCTGTACACTTATCAAGATACTTCTTCTTCACACTTCTCCATGCTTTTCTCATAATTCTATTATAAAGAGATACTTCGGGACCAACTTTAATCCTAACAATGTTTACAGCCCAAAAACTGGTTTTAAAATAAACAATTGAATTTATGTTTCTAGGTCACTAGTAAATAGATTTGTCCAAAGTGTGTCTAATAAAATGAAGAATAACAGTGATAAATAAAGCAGAATTAGAGAAATGAATTCTTATTGAACGTCGGCCTCTGATACGGCTTTACAAGAGCGAACTACAATCTTTCAAGGATATAACTGAAATGATAACGTTTGAGAAACATATGTAGAGTGAACTTTCGTGTGTCCTCAGCGTGTGTTACAAGTAAATAAAGCAAGGTATTTGTAACTTAAGTGGGATGTAGTTGTTCCGAGTTCCTAGCCTACACGTTGTGTATGTGGCTAGTGGGGGGCGAGATCTCCAATAACTATAACCATAATAGCATCACGGACGGGGGCCACGATTTCAGGAGGATCCCGGATGTACCGGAATTAGTCATCGGAAACGTTTAGTCTGTTCCGGATACATACTTGGTGAATTTCTTTCGGTTACTCTTGTCCCGTATATGAATGGTCGGCCCCCATCATGATTCTTCAGCTCTCTCGGCTATAGCTTCCATGCTCACAGGTGTCAAACCACTCCTACCATATGTCACTACTGTGTTGTACCACGTGTTAAGAACGATTTTTCCCAATACAAACAATGGCAAAGTTTTTGCAACAATCAATTTTATGATCATTTGGACCATTTACATTTTAGTATAACAATAGTTCTAATTTTCCTTGATAACTGTACCAAAACCAAATGGGAGAACAACCACCAAAGAGCGAGTATTAAACTTAACCAAATAACAAAAATGAAACTTCTGCTCTTCTAAACCCAAATAGAATCAACCCGATGGATACAACTTATAAGACCTAAAACCCCAGCTTAACCAGCTTTTATATTGGTAAACCAACCAATTATGTTTTCTTAAACCCCCTCCCCATCCCCCTTTTGTGGAAGCCCCAAAGGCATTAATTCTGAACAGTCAGTAGAGGAGTTCGTTTCACAGTAGGATTTCTGTTGGAAAGAGTTAAAAATACAATGGTCTTGGAAGTTCCATCTATATCCTTGGCAGAAATTAACTGTCATGTTTAACACGTAAATTCACTTCAAAGTCACCTTTTAATCTTTCTCCCATTATCACCCTACGCAAGATACTCCACGTCCCAAATTAACCAACGTAGTTTGACCAACACAAAGATGAAAGAAGAAAGTTTGAATGAGATATTGCGCTTCAATTTGGCAGGAATACACAAAGATAAGAGTTTGGACATGCAAATCCATATAAAGATGTCAAACCAAATTCCAACATATATGCAACTACGCCTCAACCGAACTAACATGTAAGCGCATATACAGAAGCGGTAGATAAATTTTTGAAGGTTGTGAAATACAACATTATTTAATGAAAAAAGAGATCAAAAAAGAGAGCAGGTCAAACAAATTTGAAATAAGCGAATAATAAGAAACTAGGTAATAGCACCCAGCACGTGTTCAAGTTTCCCATAGTATCTAATTTCTCAAATTTAGTATTGAAACAACCAAAGAAGAGGGGAGCAGTTTCGGACTCAAGGACAAACAAGTACTCTTAATTTCTTAAATGTACTAATTCAAACTGCAAATTTAGAGAAACGTACTTCTTCACATTAAAGTCTGATGCTTCATTGTCTGCTTGTGCCCCCGATTTCTTGGAATGCATAAAAGCATAGACTTCTTCCGACCAACCACACGTTCTTAAAACTAATGAAGCCTCCTTATGGAGCCTGAAACTCATTAGAAAGATAGGGTTAAAAATCAGTTTGAGCAGATAAGATAATACTGTTAAAAGTTTATTAGGCAAGACTATGAAAGCAGAAAGTACTTCATTATCTCTAACCACCAAACAAGATGACAGCAAAAGGGAGCTTCCCATATGTATATAGCTTGACAACAAAACAAATTAGAACTAAACAGCTTGGCTTCATCGAAAAAAATGTCCTACTCAACTTCCTTCCTCAGAACTCTTCTCAATACATTGTTAATGAGGTCAAGATAAGATATGGCTGATCAGTAACCAACATCATAAACAACTGAGAAGAACAAGAAAATGCACAAATCGTACACCACTCCACAACCTTGTCTTAGACACTCTTTTTTCTTTTCCTTTTTTTCCTCCAAACCAGTGATAAGAGACTTTTTACTGTAATCACTTCCCCACTAAAACTGAAAGCAGAGATGGACCAGAACACAAAATGGTTTTCCATTCTGTGGTGAGTAGTGACAAGCACGGATTCGGAAGAGATGAGTGCTTCCAGTTTATTAATTCAAAGGATATCTCGCCTAATTAAGAGAGACAGAGAATAATGTAAGGCAAAACGCTTGGCACCCTATGGACCTATGCAATCAAATGTAACACAATAACGATTTCATTTTAGCAGCACATAACCTCAAGTTCTAACAAATGTGGGTACAACTATAATGAGTTCTAAAGTTCGATCCCTAAAGTATAATAATACTAAGGACGAGGACTGCAGGAAATGCAGAGATAGAATAACATACTCCTTTTTTAATTCTTCCACCTTCGCACGAGACTGAGCATCTTGCTCAAGCAGGATGCAGTCATCTGGTAATTTTCTCTTTGAACCTGAGATAGAAGAGGATTCAACACGGCCATTTGACATCTCCTTTTGTACAGAAGTCACCTCAGCTGCCTTTTCATTATTCTCCCCATTATTTTTACGCACATTTCCCCTTAAGGGATTAGTTGCGACACTCTGGATTTTGCCATTTCCATTTGCCTCTTTGGCAGATGAATCCCTTCCTGCAGTCTTTCCATTACTCAAACCATAATCTTTATGGGGACCGTCTGCTACAGAGCTGGTTGCTACACCCGGAAGTTTCCCATTTCCGTGTGTTAAGGCATGTGATCTTGTCATATGACCATTACCACAACTTTTCCTAATACCGTTCCTGTCTGGCAATGATGTAACCTCTTTCTCTGTAAGAACTGATGCTCTCACATCACCATTTCTATTGTCAGATTCTCTTTGATGAACAACAATTTTGATATTCCCAGAAGAAGGTATCTTCTTGATGGAAGATCTTTCAAATATGCTCAACTCCCTCACTGGGCTCGAATGCACTTTACTGACCTTAAAAGTCATTACATTTTCTTTCTCAGAGGGGTGGCCTAAAACGTGTTTGCCATTTTCTGGTTTTGCTAAGTCACAGGTCGAGATTTTGGATCTAGCCAAGCCATTGGAATGATTGAACTTTGACCCATTAACTGATAAACATGTCTTGGTGAGTGGTGACCTCTGCTTGGTACGAGAGAAGAAAAGGATGTACACCTTCTCTGACAACACTTCTTGCAAGGTTGAAAGAGAAACAAAAGAATCATTACAGCAGTACCAACGACCCACAGCATCCTGCAAACAGCCAACCAAAATCAAAACACAAACATCAGGCAAAACAAAACTATGATTGGCTCCATCATCTTATTATTATCATCTTTGACTATACAGAATAAGGAATAACGAAGAACAAAGAAAACGTTGAGACTCTTGTAAGCTTGGCCAGACAGATATTTTTCCACCAACTAATGGAGTTCACGGCATGCCAGCGTATGCATGAGAAATTATGAATGTAATTTACCTTCAACAGGACACATTGAGACTACTGTTTTGAAAAAATACAAGAGGAAATTAATAGGAAATGAAGTCATCCATGTAGAAATTCACAACTATGATTCTGGCATACCTTGATATATGCATAATAATGCCCTGAATCCGGTGAAAAGCCTGAGTGGACAATAGTTCCAAAAAGATTGTATTCTGGATGAGGATCCTGCAAAATAAGGAACATAAAGTAACTTGACTATGAGACAGAAGTACCTTATTAATCAACTTACTCACTAGAAGTTGAGTGTTCAATCAGCGAGGATGTGCAACTCCCATCGTTCACCTTTTTTTATTTCGAATAGGCATACTACTATTCTGTCAGCAGGAGTTACAGGTACAATTCTTAAGGAGGATAGGTCAAATACACATATATGCACCATAGACTATTATACCTAAATTGATGCAAGCCAATATAAAATCCATTGTACCATGAATCAACAACATCTACGCCTCAGTCCTAAATAAGTTAGCGTCGGCTATATGAATCCTCAATGACCATGTTCTCCATTTAAATTCATATCATGCCAACATTATACAAAATAAAATAACAATGAAAAAGTACTAGAAGTTCCCTATATTTCCTAATAGGATAAGAATCTCTAATAGGGCTAAAAGACTCCTAAAAGGCATACAGCTAAAAGTAAATGTATTAACATGACTAAAATATACTCACAGCTACCTGGTATCGCCTATATAATCATCTCCTTTCTTTCTTCATCAAAATAAATCTATTTCTTCCCATGTGCCCTATCTTTCGCTAAGTCTACAATATTCCAAGAGATTGTAGGTCTTTCAAGACAAAAAGCAAGAAAAAAGAATGCCAAAAAATAGTGTCTCCCAAAAACAATACACAAACCAACTCCCTGAGACGCACAACCCCATCCAGTTTACCTTCTCCAATTAAGATTCTAATCCCATCTGTTAATATCATGAAATTGCCTAAATCCAGAGTTGAGTACATATAAGACCACAGATTTCCCAACTCGAAGAATGGAGAACATGCATATGTTAGCAAGGAAGAATGGAAGTCATTAGCAGAAAAAACTATCTTTTTTTGGATTAAAAGTAAATATTGGTAGAATTACTCTCCTGTATTAAAACTATGCAGTTCAGCCCTTTCTTCTAAGCAGATTTACAGACAGTGTAGACAAAGTACGAAGCAAGCTATGAAATTTGCACCTGTGATTTTGATTGGAAACCCCAAAAACTACCTGCGTAGATTCCAAATCCAAATGAATTATCACAGCAGTATTCCCTTGTTCCCAATGTTGGTTATTACATAGTTGGAATTTTTTACTAGTGCCACCCTATCTTGATTTGTCCAAGACGTGGTATTAACAATTCAAGAATTGGTAAGACAGGGCACTAGTCTTATAGCCCGTTTGGCCAAGCTGCAAAAATCAGCTTATTTTGAGAAGTGTTTTTCTCAAAAGTACTTTTGGTGAGAAGCAGTTTGTGTTTGGCTAATTAGCTTGAAAAGCACTTCTGAGTAGCAATTAGTGTTTGGCCAAGCTTTAAAAAATTGCTTCTAAGTGTATTTTTCTCAAAAGTGCTTCTCAAAAAAGTGCTTTTGGAGAGAAGCTACTTTTTTCTGCTTCTCCAAAACTGCTTCTGCTTCTCCTCAAAAGCACTTTTTTTCATTTTAGAAGCTTGGCCAAACACCTCAATTTGAGGCCAAAAGTGCTTTTGGCCAAAAAAAGCACTTTTGGCCAAAAATAAGATTGGCCAAATAGGCTATTAATTGGAGAACCCACAAACAAATTATCACAGCAGTATTCCCTCGTTCCCAGTTAGAATTTCATAAAAGGGCCTCCCCGCATTGATTTTTCCAAGCAGTGGTATTAACAATTGAGGAATTAGTAAGACAGAGCAATTGTCTAACAAAGGTGTTTTGATAAACTCTTACAGATGGGACAAGATCAAACCCAACTCATTTTTGTCCCTTCCTCCTTCTTCCCTCTAGCTCCTCTCTCCCAGTCACACCAGTATGGAGCAACATCATAGTCTAGCATCCTCCCTCCGGTAGCTCTCACCCATCCTGGCATCTTCACTGACACATTTATAGCTCCCTTATTCAAACTATTAGCATCAGTGCTTCTACCTCACATACCCTAAGATCACCATCTCTTACTCTTTCAATACCTTGATGTAATTATCATTGATGGCAGCTCCATCCTCTTGAGTAACCCCCCCCCCTTTTCCTCTTTTCTCCATCCCCTACCCTACGTCATAATAGCGTTATAACTCTACACTAACCTTTGCAATCAAGAAAGTAATTTTTTTCAAGGGCAATCTGAGTTTTGGATCAAACATGACAGATTGTTGATTATACCCTGTATTACTTCGACTTACCAAACCCAAGGGGAGAAGGCAGTAATACTATCTTAATATCCTCCTGTATTTTTGTAGTACCCAGTGTTGTGAAGAGCGTAAAGCGAGGAAAAATGACGAGCCCCTTTTCGCTTAAAGCGAGAAGCGAAGCGCTCGCTTTTTTGAAGTGAAGCGGAATTTTAAAGAAAAATATTAAAATAAATATTGCATTTCAAAAAGAAGGGCAGTATAACTTTAACGGAAAAATGGGCAGTATTTCAATCTTTTTATCACTGAAACAGAGCAAGAAAATGAAGAAGAAGAAGAGGAGAAGAATGAGAAAGAAGAACTGAAGGGGGAAAAAATTTCGCTAGCATTTCGATGCTATTTGGATGCTGAAACAGTGAAAGAAAAAGAAAAAGAAAAAGAAGGAGGAGGAAGAAGAAGAAATCACATACCTGGGACCAAACTTGATGATCTTGAAGTTGAAAAGTGTAGAAAACTTCAACCCTAGGTCGCCTCTTTCTTTCTTTGTTGCTGCTCGATGGTGTTTTAAAAAAAGACAGCTTTTTTAATTAAATACGTTGGCAGCCCAGTTATAAAGAGAAGCGCTCGCTTCTTATGCTTCGCATCGCTTCATTGCTTCTCGCTTTTTCAGGGGAAGCGAGCACTTTTGTAAATCTGCAACGCCTCAACTAACAGCTAACAGAAGTGCCAGATACCTCCCCTAGCTTCGCTTCTCGCTTTAAGCGAGGAAGCGCTCGCTTTTTACAACCCCGGTAGTACCATCTTGGTATCATCTTGTTAATAGATTACCTTTACCTTATCAAACAAATACCATCTTAATGTCCATCGGGGCCACCAAACAACCCCTAAGTTGACCTAGATAAGCATGTGATTGCCTTAAACATTTTTTAATACTGAAGACTACGAGGCTTGGAGGAGTAGCGGGGATTTGAGCATTATGTGGACCATGACTACGTATTGCATTAGGGAAGCTGCTAGAGAGGTATTAGGGGTCTCGAAGGGTTACTCTGTTGGTCACAAAGGAGACTGGTGGTGGAATGGAGAGGTCCAAAGAAAAGTGGAAACCAAAAAAGCGGCGTGTCTGAAGCTAGTGGAAGCGTAGACGAGGAGGAGAAGCGGACGAGTAGGGAGTGGTATAAGATGACTAAGAAGGGGGCAAAGTTTGCAGTTACGGTGGCTAAGACCGCAGCATTTGGTCGTTTGTACGAAGAACTTAAGGGCAGAGGCGGGGATAAGAGGCTACTCAGGCTGGCCAAGGTGGGAGAAAGGAAGGCCCGTGACTTGGACCAAGTGAAGTGCAACAACAACAACAACATACCCAGTATAATCCCACGGATGTGGTCTGGGGAGGGTAGTGAGTACGCAGACCTTACCCCTACCTGGAAAGGTAGAGACGCCGTTTCCGATAGACCCTCGGCTCAAGAAAAGGTGGAAAGGATGTGGATGTTGTTCTCAACTTCAGACATCTTTTGCTACGCTCATTTCTGCTACGCTCATCTTTTGGACATGGGACATCTTGACGGGCCAACACTCAGCTCCATACAACATAGCTGGTCTAACCACCACCCTGTAGAATTTGCCCTTAAGTCTAGGCGGTACATTCTTATCACATAAAACCCCCGAAGCTAGCCTCCATCTCATCCAACTTCAATGCGGTGAGTAACATCCTCGTCAATTTCCCCGTTGCTTTAGATTATAGACCCAAGATACTTGACACTATCTCTTGTGGGAATGACTTGAGTATCAATCTTTACTTCTACTTCTTCTTCATGCCTCTCCTCACGGAACTTGCACTCCAAGTATTCAGTTTTCGACCTACTCAACTTGAAACCTTTGGTTTCCAGCATTTGTCTCCAAACTTCCAACCTAGCGTTAACACCCCCTCGCGTCTCGTCAATCAGTACAATGTCATCATCAAATAACATGCACCATGGCACCCTCCCTTGTATGTGACGTGTCAGGACATCCAACGCTAGGGCAAACAAAAACGGGCTAAGGGTTGATCCCTGATGTAACCCCATCTCCACTGGGAAATGTTTCAAGTTTCCTCCCGCAGTCCTCGCCCGATTCTTAGCGCCTTTGTACATGTCCTTAATCACCCTAATGTACGCTATCGGGACTCCGCTGACCTCCAAACACCTGCATAGCACCTTACTCGGGACTTTGTCATAAGCCTTCTCAAGGTCAGTGGACACCATGTGCAAGTCCTTTTTCCTCTCCCTATACTGCTCCACCAATCGTCTCACGAGGTGATGGCTTTTGTGGTTGATCGTCCCGACATAAATCCGAACTGGTTCTCAAATATAGATACGCATGTCCTCACTCTCTTCTCCACCACCCTCTCCCAGACCTTCATAGTGTGACTCAGCAGCTTGATACCCCTATAGTTGTTGCCAGTATTTTGAATAGCATGAGGCAACAAATAGCGATGAGGGCCCGCTTCACTGAGGCGAGAGGCGAGAAGCGAAGCGCTCGCCTTTTTTATGTTAAGCGACAATTTATATAAAAAGATAAATTATTAAATTTGCATATATATATATATATATAAAATATATATATATATATATATACTAAAAACTCAATAGCAATAATATATTAAAAAATATATCAATTAAAAACTCAGATATGAAGAAGCTCTTCGCCTCTGCCCATGAAGGAATTGAAAAGCAGAGCAAAAAAAAAAAAGACGAAGAAAAAGGAAGGAAGAAAGAATGAAAGAAAAAGCTCTATGTTGCTCGATCAAAAAACATTAGATCAAAAACGAAAAAGAAAAAGAAGAAAAAAAGAAGAAAGAAGAAGAAAGAAAAAAAGGGCAGAAACTCGAAGAAGAAGAAGAAACGAAGAAAGGAGAAGAAGAAAGAAGAAAAGAGATGAAGAGAAGCATACCTGATGAAGAAGCTTGAAGAAGAAAGAAGAATCGATGATGTGACTGGGTCGAGATGATGTGACTTGGATCGACTTGAAGGAGAAAGAAGAAGAAATTGTTGAAGCCCTAAATTTTTTCTGTTAATCGCTGGTCTGCTGCCTTTTTCTTTTCTTTTTTTTCAAAAACCGATGCTACAGGGCGCCTCTCGCTACACAGCGCCCCTCGCTACACAGGCAGAGGCGCTCGCCTTTTTGAAATCGCCACGCAACAGAGGCAAATAGCGCTGGAGGCTCGCATCGCATCACCTCACGCTATTAGCGCTGAGGCGAGCGCTATTTACAACACTGGTTGTTGCAGTTCTGGATATCACCTTTGTTTTTGTACAACGGAATCATCAAACTCCACCTCCAATCTTCGGGCATCTTCTTCGTCTTGAAAATGACGTTAAACAAGCTAGTAAGTCACTCCAAGCCTACCCTACCCGCTTCTTTCCAAAATTCCACCAGGATCTCGTCCGGCCCAGTCGCCTTACCCCTGCTCATCTTTCGTATAGCCACATCAACCTCCTCACACCTAATACGCCTACAAAACCCAAAATCTCTCCGACTCTCTAAGTTCTCCAACTCACCCAGCACAATGTTCCTATCCCCTTCCTCGTTCAAGAGTTTATGGAAGTACTCCTGCCATCTACGCCTGATACACGCCTCTTCCACCAATACCTTATCGTCTTCGTCTTTGATGCACCTCACTCGATCCAGGTCCCGAGCCTTCCTCTCCCTAATTTTGGCTAACTTGTACAGCTTCATATCCCCTCCTTTGCCCCCAAGATCCTCATACAATCCTTCAAAAGCTGCAGTCTTGGCTGCCATAACCGCGAGCTTCGCCTCTCTTATTGCCTTCTTATATCCCTCCCTATACGACCTTCGCTCTTCCTCGTCAGTGCTCCCCACTAGCTTCAGATATGCCGCTTTCTTAGCTTCCACTTTTCATTGGACCTCCTCATTCCACCACCAGTCCCCTTTGTGGCCACCCGAGTAACCCTTCGAAACCCTTAACACCTCCCTAGCAGCTTCCCTAATGCAGTTTGTTGTCATGGTCCACATACTACTCGCGTCCCCACTGCTCCCCCAGGCCCCCATAGCCAACAGCTTCTCCCCCAACTCCTGAGCCTTTCCCTTAGTCAAGGCTCCTCACTGACCAAGTAAAGTGCATCAAGGACAAAGAAGGTAGAGTTTGTTGGATGAGGGGCATATCCGGCAGAGGTGGCAAACTTACTTCAATGGTCTCTTGAACGAGGAGGGGGACAGGAACATTGTGTTGGGTGATTTGGAATCCTCCGAGAGTCGTTGCGACTTTGGGTATTATAGACGTATTAGAGTTGATAAGGTCAAGGGGGCTATGCGTAAGCAGCGGAAAAACGACTGTGTCAAATGAAATTCCGGTGGAGTATTGGAAGAGTGCATGCAAGGCGGTCTTGGAGTGGCTCACTAGGTTATTTAATGTTATTTTTAGGACGAACAAGATGCCCGAAAGAATGGAGATGGAGTACGATGGTTCCTTTGTACAAGAACAAAGGTGATATCTAAAACTGCAACAACTATCGAGGTATCAAGCTACTTAGTCATACTATGAAAGTCTGGGAGAGGGCGGTGGAGCTGAGGGTGAGAAGGAGTGTGTCTATTTCCGAGAACCATTTCGGGTTTATGTCGGAGCATTCGACTACGGAAGTCATTCATCCTGTCAGGAGATTGATGGAGTAGTATAGAGAGAGGAAGAGGGACTTGCATATGGTGTTCATCGACTTAGAAAAGGCCTACAATAAAGTTCGAGGTCCTATGGAGATGTTTTGGAGGCTAGAGGTGTACCTGTGGCATACATTAGGGTGATTAAAGACATGTATGATGGAACTAAGACCTGGGTGAGGACAGTAGGAGGGGACTCAGATCACTTCCCGATCATGATGGGGTTGCACCAAGGGTCGGCACTCGGCCCTTTTTTGTTTGCCTTGGCAATGGACGTACTGATGCGCCATATCCAAGGGGAGGTACCGAAGGGGAGATGTCGTGGTGCATGTTATTTGAAGATGACATTATATTGATTGACGAGACGCCAGACGATGTTAACGTGAGGTTAGAGCTGTGGAGGCACACCCTGGAGTCTAAAGGTTTCAAGTTGGGTAGGACTAATACAGAATACTTAGAGTGTAAGTTCAATAGGGCGACTCAGGGAGTGGAATGAGAGGTGAGGTTGGATTCACAAGTCATCCCAAGAGAGAAAGTTTCAAATATCTTGGGTCTATTATACAGAGGAATGGGGAGATCGATGAAGATGTTACACACCATATTAGGGCGGGATGGATGCAATGGAGACTTGCTTCCAGTGTTCTGTGTGAAAAGAAGGTTACAACAAAACTTAAAGGTAAGTTCTACAAAGTGGTGGTCAGGCTGACTATGTTGTATGGGTATGTTAGCCAGTTAAGAGCCCATGTCCAAAAGATGAAGGTAGTAGAGATGAGGATGTTGAGATGGATGTGAGGGCACGCGGGGTTAGATAGGATTAGGAATGAAGTTATTCGGGACAAGGTCAGTGTGACCCCTATTGAGGACAAGATGTGGTAAACGAGGCTTAGATGGTTTGGGCATATGAGGAGGAGCACAGATGCCTCGGTCGGGAGGTATGAGAGGTTGACATTGGAAGGCCTAAGGAGAGGCAGAGATAGGCCGAAAAAGAATTGGGACAGGTAATTAGGCAAGACATGGCGCAGCTTCAGCTGGTCGAGGACATGACCCTTGATAAGAAGGTGTGGAGGTCGAGGATTAGGGTAATAGGTTAGTTAGTTGAGTGTTCTCCTTGTTCATACCAGTAGTATTAGTACGTACTTTCGTATTTTGTTGGTATTAGATTTCTATGACTACCTGTTATTTCTCTCATTTCGGTCATCTTACTATCTGGTTGTTATTTATGCTGCTTTTACATGGCTTCTCGTTGTTGCGCTTCTTGTTTTTCTCTTCATTATGTGATGCTTATACTTTGCTGAGTCGAGGGTCTATTTGAAATAGCTTCTCTATCTCAATAAGGTAGGGGTAAGCTACGTACCCACTACCCTCCCTGGACCCCACTATGTGGGATTATAATGGGTTTGTTATTATTGGTGTTGTTGTGTTATTTAAAACTTTTAGGTCTCCTAGGATTTAAAAAAAAAAGACGAATCGCCAAAATGAAGAGAAAACATCACAGATGCCGGAGAGAAATTCTCTGCCTTAACAACTATATCTAGAGTTAGCAATCGAGAGAACGCCATGTATTGGTGCCTACGTGTAGCCTATCCGGCTATGACAAGGACATTTCAATTACATGTGAAATCATAGTCAAGTTAAATGGTGAGAAATCAAAGACACAAAACTCATTGGCATAAAAGGTTACCCATTTTGAAAACAAGCTGACAAGGTAGGCTCTGGTGAAGTGCACTAATACTGAAAAAATACCAATACCCCATAATTTTTTCTTCAAAAAGAATGGTAAAATAAAAGTTTTACTTGGCACCACGCTAGAACATCTTCAGCAGAAGATGGTTTGAATTTAATTGGGAAAGAATTAACTCAATGGTGGGGAGCAAAACAATATATGTTGAACTTAATCTTTACACACATACCTGACTCGCTTTGCACATGTAGCTTGAAAGCACTAGAAACTCCTCAAAAGCAATAGGCTTATCGATCTTCCCACCATATATTCCTTCAAACCTCTATCCATAACCAAAGCTAGGTTAGCATTGGCAGTTGAATATAAAATAGAAAAGACAAACATTCCAACAATTTTGTACCTTGAGCTGAATGACAAGAACATTTGGCGCTTGATGAATCGACATTTGCTTCCTTGCTGTCACCAATTTCTTACAGCTAAACAAGCATAAGTCCTCAGTCCAACAGCACAGTTATCATAAAATATGTATCAAGAAAGAGGGATAAAATACTCACTTCTCACACTTGTACTTATTGTTGCCATCCAAAACCTCGGGCCGAAAAAATCTCTGCATAGCATCTTTGAGGGAGCTACTGTGCAACACATCAAGACTTATATCCATGATCTCGTCCACCTTATTTGACTCAGCACCACATGACAAGCACTTGACCTGGCTCTGTAAAGCACCCCCGAAGATTTCCTTAACAATGGTATTTCCATTCCCATCGGCACCACCACCCTTCCTTCTTTGCTGCTGCAACTTCTTCAACCGCAAACAGGTGTTGTGGCAAGCGTCAATGACATAGCGCAAGAATTCATGGGCATCCTCTTGTCTCCCATACCTAAAATGCTGGGCAAAAATCTTTAAGCAATGATTAATCTTAGACGGAGTATCTAGGGCTGATTCAAGACTCAAAGACCTAGCTATTCGCTTCTCTAATATGCAGAAAGGACATTCACTCTTCTTCTCTGAAGCAGCTGCAGCTCCAGAATCACCTGCACAATAGAAGGACATCTTTATTTCAAGCTAAAAACTAGGGCATCAATCAAACATTCAGGTGCTCAGCCAACTATGCATCAATCATAAAGATTAGTTGATGTCAGCTCTATAATATACTAGAAACATCATGCCTCAATTCGAAACTAGTTGAGTGACTTGAGTCGGTGATATGAATCCTCAATAATCATAACAAATACCAAGCCTCAAACCAAAGTAATCAGACCTATATTATGTGAATCCTCAATAAACTTAAAAACTAACAGCTCAATCTCAAACTATCAGGGTCGACTACAGGAATCCTCAATAACCATAATAACTACCACGCCTCAATACCTAGCTAATTGGAGTTGGCAATATGAATTCCAATAATAGTCCTGCTCAAATTGGGCATGTAATGATTGAATGCTCAAACAAAGGGGCTTAGCCCATGTACGAAGTAAATACACACACACACACACAACACGCACAGAGGCGCACACACAATAAAGATGAGTATAATAAATAAATAATGGAGGAATTACAAGAAGAGGAATGTTGAGATTGGAGGCAGAAAAAGGCAAGGGGAGGGGTGTAAGTGAGGCACTGAAGAACCGAGTTGAGATAACAGGTATTGCCAAGGTTTTTGAGCCCTAACGGAGGACCAGTTTTGCGTCTCTGGCTGAGCAGATTCGGCTGCCAATTCATTTGCAGCAAATAGGCCATTAACGACCTAATTCTTCTTCCTCTACCGCCAGCACCGCCGCGTATGGGCTGCCCCAAAGCCGCAGCCACCACGATCGCATCGCCTCGAATTCCTCTCTCTCTCTCTCTCTCTTTCTACGTTTGGCTTTTCTTTTTCTCCTGTTAGGTTTTTTCCAATTTTTGGTTGAGGGAGGGAGATTTCCAGAACAATGAGAGGTTTAATTGTGGTTTCAAATTGGCAGTGAGTGGTTATATAATTCTCTATATATACAATACAATTTGTTTTTCGGGGTGGGTAAATAATAGTGTGGCGTTAGTATGTTTTGTATTGTGTTGTTATATAGAGAAAGAGAAGACGAGGAGACTGTGAAAACAGACAACTTCCCCCTCATCCCCCGACTCCAACCAAGAGTTCGGAACCAAAATGTGGTTCTTTTGGACAACTAGCACCTTAATAGGTGTAAAAAAAATGATATTTTTATATATAGCGCCCAAATACTGGGCGCTATACATTAACACTAACTGTGTCGTTAATGTATAGAGCCCAGTATTTGGGCGTTATACATAGAAAGCTGACACTAACAGGTATAGCGCCCAAATACTGGACGCTATACATAAAACTTTATACATAGAACTTTATGTATAGCGTCCAGTATTCAGGGGTTATACACCTTTTTCCTGGCCCCACCAATAATTCCTGACTTCAATAATTCAAAAGCGTATAGTAACCACTTTTTGGGCGCTATATATAAAAAATAATCCCCGGCTAGCCATTTCCTATATAAAGAGGTTAGGATTGTATAGAAATTCATTCAAAAGGTGTACAACGTAGAAATTTCTCGGCTAGCCATTTCCTATATAAAGAGGTTAGGATTGTATAGAAATTCATTCAAAAGGTGTACAACGTAGAAATTTCTCGGCTAGCCATTTCCATACTCTTGTTGAAACGTTTATTGTTGTTAAATTCTCCAGCATTTTTTCATTATGTCTGAAGAGCGTAGAATAAGAGTTTTATTATATTGGGAGGTGAGGTTGTGATGGAAAATAACTGTGTGGGCTACAGTTTACCTGCTCAGTGTCATGTTAAATTGCCACTTACAATGGAGGACGATAAATTGATATCGTTGTTATGCAAAAAAATGAGTGTGAGGAAACGTTCAGTGATACTTAAAGTAACCGAAAGATATTCGTATTCCGTCACTCCGCAAAGGGTTGCTCTTTACTCGGAGTTTAACATCGACGATTATGAAACTTTGAGTGATTTTCTGAGGACTCCGGATGAATGCCGGGAATTTCTTGTAATCACAATGTTGGAGATGTACGTGAAGGTCGAAGACGTTCCAAAAAATGAGGTTGTGCGTAGTAGAGATAACCCCCAGTCATCGGGTGGTTATTCTGGAGCAGTTTTTGCCGGACAGGTTCCGGATGAAAGAGTTTTCCTTGATTTAAACTTATCACCGCCGGCGAATGAGCAGCGAGAAAATAATTTATACCCTGCTTTCCATAATTCACAAGACGAGTGGTAAACTTCAATTTTCATTTGTGTTAATTATGTATATTTTTGGTGTATTGAATTTGTATTAACGCTCATATATTTAATAGGGAGTACCGGCCAGATATGAATTTTATAAGTGGCCCATCCGGTAGTCATCACCTAATCGAAAACGTCCATCATGGAATTTCATCACATTACGACTTGTAAGTGAAGTGATATAGCCATATGGAAAGCATTTATTAATTCAGTAGCTTATATTTTTGTTGGTTGTGCAGCGAAAACGAGCAAGTTGAACCATCCGTACTCACTCAATTGCCCGAAAACGACGTATTACATCGGGATCTGGCAGATGCACAGAGTGAGGAACAGAACAGTGATTACGATAACAATGTCGATGAATCCGAAGACGAGACACCCTTTCCTCGTGAGGATGGTGATGCGCAGGATGAGGAGGAAGGACCTGATATGAAGAGAGACCCCTAGACGAAGAGTGCTCGAGTCTGAAGTGTCGTTTCATTCAAGGGAGATTACTTACATTGATAACTTGTCAACTGTGTCGGATGTGGAATCTCTCACAAGGGATTTTGATGAAATTCAGATAGCAATGTGGGATGAGTCTAGACCAACGTAAAAGAGTGTCGTGGATGCAGGTATGGGAGTCAAGTCCGATGGTATACAAGGTTGTTTGCTGCAGGTGGTTTTGGCCATGTAATTGGATGTGGACGCTGTTTTTGAACCACCTGAAAGAGCACGTTGTCAAACAACGTTCATGTATTTGTCTAATATCTGATCGACACTGTGGTATATTAAGTTCTGTGGAGAACTTGCTTGCATGGCAAGAACCTTATGCATACCACTGTTACTTTGTGAGGCACTTTAAGGCCAATTTTCAGAAGGCACATCCCAATAAGGATCTACATGATTTGATGTGGATGGCAGTAACAAACCACCAACAATATAAATTACTGAGGCATATAGATTCTATCAGGCAAGAAGACGAGGCAGCCTATTGTTGGTTAATGCAACATCACCCGGAAAAGTGGACTTTGCATGCGGATGGTGGCAGACGATGGAGAATTCTTACTACAAACGTGTCAGGGTCCTTCAACGGGTTATTGAAGTCGGCAAGAGGATTGTCCGTCACAGCCATGGTGCGGATGTCGTTCAAGCAGATGGCGGAGAGGTTTGTTGAACGGTCTGCAATTGCAACGGAATTGATGGAAAGGGGTGTTGAATTTATGCCAGTGCCGATGCAGAGATTTGAGAAATACAGACGGCGAGCACATTGACATTCATTTTTGCAGTATGATAGCGAAAGAGGTATTTTTGAAGTTCGCATCGCTATCCATAATAATTGGGGTAATAATGTACATACTATAAATGAATCAGCAAGGTTATGCTCTTATGGGAAATGGTCCATCTACCACATGCCTTGCTCACATGCCATCAAATATTTTCAACGTGTTGGTTATGCGGAGACCAACTATGTTGATCAACAATATAGTGTTTTCAAGTACCTAAACACATATAGTGGTCAGTTGCAGCCAGTGGGTGCTGGGTATTATTGGCCTCCGGAACCATTTAAAATGGTGTGTAACAAGTCCTATTTGTGTAAAATACAGGTGCAGAAGAGAACGCGTATACGGAACCAAATGGATGTTAGTGATACTGTTTATGCGCACAAATGTGGTATATGCTTTGCAAACAGGACACGACCGTCGTAAATGTCCTTCAGCTGGTTTGGGTGGCAAAACTAATCAAGCTCGTGGTGGGTGTTCTTCTAGTGTACCTAACTACCCATGAGTTTATGTTGTAATAATTAGTTGTTATGTCTATGTTGCAAGATTTATGAAATAAAATTATGCTTGTTAATTATGATTTGTACTTTTCCATTTTACCTATTTAAATAATAATTTAATAAAATTATCTGTATATTTGCGTGTGTTGTCTTGTCGAACTAAAAAACCTTACCAGCTGACATAAAGTTGTCTTGTCAACATCATGATATTTAACACGCAAAATATAGCGCCATTAGATAGTACGTTATGTATTTAGCGCGGTTAAATATATAGTTTTGTGTATGTTCTCTTGTCGAACTGAAAAAGCTGATCAGCTGACATAAAGTTATCTTGTCAACATCACGATATTTAACACGCAAAATATAGCACCATTAGATAGTACGTTATGTATTTAGCGCGGTTGAACACTACGTTATGTGTGTGTTGTCTTGTCGAACTGGAAAAGCTGACCAGCTGACATAAAGTTATCTTGTCAACATCATGATATTTAACACGCAAAATATAGCACCATTAGATAGTACGTTATGTATTTAGCACGGTTGAACAATACGTTATGTGTGTGTTGTCTTGTCGAACTAAAAAAGCTGACTATCTGACATAAAGTTGTCTTGTCAACATCATGATATTTAACACGTAAAATATAGCGTCATTACATAGTACGTTATGTATTTAGCGCGGTTGAACACTACGTTATGTGTGTGTTGTCTTGTCGAACTAAAAAGCTGACTATCTGACATAAAGTTGTCTTGTCAACATCATGATATTTAACACGTAAAATATAGCGCCATTACGTAGTACGTTATGTATTTAGCGCGGTTAAACACTATATTATGTGGGTGTTGTCTCGCCTATAAATAACAAGCTCATTGTAGTTATTTTGTGTGCTCAAAATTTAGTAAAGTAAATATTTCATTAAAAGTAAGGTTTTTTTACTAAAATCAAATATTTTACAAATGGCTCAATCTCTTCGTCCACCAAAGTGCAAGTGTGGAAAAGTATGCTTGATGCAAAATTGTTGGGACGATGGTGAAGTTGGACGCCGCTACTGGCACTATATGAACCAGTTTTACAAGGTTCCCGGCGAATCTATTTGTGATTTTGAGGAATGGGTTGATGAACCATGTTATCAAGAATGCTACAGAGAACAACTGCAGTATATTCATAATGTGTGTTTAAGACAACGGAAACATGAAAAAGAAAGCAATAGAATTATTGCAGACTTGAGGGCGAAACTGAAGGAGGTGAGAGAAGAAAAATGGAAAACACAATGGAATTGTGAAGCACAAAAGGAACGTAAAAAAAATATAAACGGGAACTTGCGGAGGTGAAGGTGAAGCTGAAAGAGGTAGAAGAAGAAAAAGAACAACTGGAAGAACGATTTAAGTGGTTGGAGCGGAGAATAAATGGCAACCGGGGCTAAATATTGACATGTATGTGTTTAGTGTATTTTTTATATTTCATGTATTTTTATTATGTTGTCCTGTTATGTTTGTGTTTGTGCTTGTGTTTGTGCTGTAGTAATATTTTCCTTGTTTGTTGTATTAAATTTTATTTTAATTGAAGTGGATGTTAAGTTTAAGTGCTTGTGTTGTTATATGAAACTATCAAACGAATGGGTAACTAAAAAAAGTGATGGGTATATTTGATTAAATATTGTTGTTAATGTATACAAAAATATTATTTACACCAAATAAAAAAAAGGAAGGCCGAATCAATGTGTCCTGCATCCGGTGTGTCTCAATGCAGCCGTTGGCCTGAGGCGCATCCCCTCCCGCCCGGGTGCTATATCAGGATCACCATCATCAAGTCGTCTCCTTATAGCCGGATGCGGCGCAAGATGACATGTATCGATGGTGCTGTCAGGTCCAGTAGAAGGCTACATAATAATGTGGAACTTAGTATGGAAAACTACATAACAATTCACAACAATTTATATTGTCTTACCATCATCGTGTCTGGATCCTGAATGTAGTCATCTGTCGCAGCATCGCATGAAGCCTTAAAAAGGAAATT